TTTGCAATATTTTTCGACGTGGTACTTTATGATTTGAACAGCCTTTTTGTAAAATTGCTGCCAGAAATACATAGTTTGCACGATCTCTAAAAATATTTGGTCTCCAACAATAGAAAAACATTCTGAGAAACATTAACCTGATAATCGACTTAAGTATACATCTAGTAGTAAATAATAGAGATCGACCATCAGAATCAGATTTTGTAAATTAAATATAACATAAGAATATATAACAAACGACAACAATTGACGAGGTTCCTATCGTGTGCCAGAAAATAACATGAAAACAAAATTGCCACTATGTTGAAATACGTTTTCGAGCTTCAAAACATTATTGGGTGATTGCAAATGTATGTTTTATTTGCATTGCATTTATCATGATTTTTGGGAAGGTTCATTTTCGCGTACTAAGACCTTTGCACGGCAAGGTTGATGGACTGGGTCAGTAAAGGCATACATCAATCTGTGCCGATACAGTGTGTTTGTTTTTATAGTGGTGCTCCTATAATGAAACAGAAAGCAAACATGCATAGGTGATATTTTTTTTATTTTAGAATATAAAAGTCAAATTAATTTAGAAAGACACTCAAAACTATTATTATGACATTGAAGACAAGACCATCACGAGACAATTATAAATATTACCGTATCAAACAACATCCGCAACAATGAAAACCAGCTTAAAAGAGTTAACCATTCTAATAGGAGAGCACTCTATAGTTCTCTCTAGAATTGGAAGCAATATATTTTAGAAGATGTAATACAGCAAAGTCATAAACCATGAAGGATATTAATCCTACCAATACCAGACACAATATTTACATTATAACACAAATATAATCATAAACTTCAAATACGTTATAATGAATTTATAAGCTGTAGAAGCATATTATAGTGTTATTAACTGGCTGTTTCTGTATTGGCCCTGTTATAGATTCGAGGTCAGCTGTATTGGACCCGAGACTCGAAGAGTAGATACGTCCAAAGTTATGTAAGGCGTAAGAAAATTGAAACCGGAATTGAACGTCCCGTATTAGCCCATGGGCCAATACGGCTTTTTCCGTATTGGCCCTGTCTGAAAAGCAATAGTAACTCTTGATTTATATCGACAGGCAACGTTATCAGTATTGCACATGCTGATTTATCCGTATTAGGGCTGATTTGCTCATATCATTTAATAATACAGCATATACCACGGAAAGCATACCACTTTTTAGTATTTTTTGCACGTTGAATCATACACTCTTCATTTCGGATAAAATTCCGATCAAAGTTTGACCAGGTTGTGATGTTTATACTATTTGTACAGTCCTATTGTAACGGGTTGGGTGTTTAACGGGTGTTGAAGGATGAACAGGATTTATTTTTTTGTGAAACGCTCAATATTTGTTTTATGATTATCCTTCCAGTAAATATAACCAATACTAACAATTATCGTAATGATATGAGAACCCAGTTAACTTATCACGTATACAATAAAAAAAACTATTTAAGTCTTATATTATCAAATTTTAAAATGAGGAATATAAATTTGCTGACACAACCGGTTTTTTTCTGGTTAATACTTGGCAGTGTTATTGGATGATTTGTAATTGGTTGAATTGGTTCACTAATTTTTTGGCTTTCTGTGGCGCGAGAAGAAATCCAACGTGGTGATCCAAAACAGTTTTATGATGATGAAGGATAATAAATCATAATAATATGATATTTGGACCAAGTGCTAACTCTTCAACAGACAATCGTGACGACACATCAGTAATAAATGATAACAACGATTTTCAGAAAAATGTTGAAACAGAGACAATCAAGTGGTGAAGTTTATGAAAATTTTAATTAACCAATTAATCTTGCCAATGTTGAAATACATCAATACAGTTTCATCGTTTTACAAAATTTTCAAAATACTATGATTTTTCGTAGCAATATGGCGATTAAAACCACACGATTTTATTAGTCGATTATTTCTAAAATCCTTGGTGGTTATAAACAAAAAGTGCAAGGAGCTGAATTGGAGAAACACATGGAGAAATGGTAGCAAAAACAAACACTATTTATACTATTTCTGTTTCATATAGATAATAAATTATGTATTTATCTATTAGACTAGTTATGTAACATATCGTTTTTCAAAGGTTGTGTATTCATTGTTGATTTAGTTATAAAAAGTTCATCTAATATCAAAACTTAAATGTTCATTTTGTAGTCAATCTAAATCATTGACCTCTTGAGTATCAATTTCTTAATTATGAATATATATAAGGTTGCAGTTCGTCGTTCAGTGCAAGTACATTTTCACAGATTAGATTGTTAAGTTAAGTTCGTACAATACACCAAAACTACGCGAGTCCTTGCAATGAGAGTTAGTGTTACATTCGGTAAACATTTATGTCAAGATGAAATTTAAATTGTATGTTTAAAATAACTCTACAGAATGTCAAGTTTAAATATAAATTTGCATTATGGAGAACCCAAGAATTATTTTCAATCAAACAAGGAAATTATTATTGATAAGGGCTGGAAAATTTTGAAACAACAATAGCAATTGACCCCAGGAAACGATGGCACATTTTGTATCTGAATTGTTTCCTATATACATATTACGTTAACAGGGAAATAAAAGGAATTAGCTACATAAAAAACTGGAAAACCAATGACACAAAATAAGTCTACACACGCAGGTTCATATTGAATATAATTATGACAATAATACTTTATAAAGTGTGTGGGTTCGAAGCAAATTACTTCATTGCTAGAATTGCCTTCAGGGAGTTGGACCTTAGTTTCTAAATGATAAAGATAAGAATAGGTTTTTATTATATGTTAATACGGGTTTCAACTCCCTCAGGCCATGTGAACATTTCCAACAAATCTATGGCTTACATGAATTATTTTTTAATTTTTATTCGGCGTTATTAGTCTCTCATATACCTATATTTTCTTTCAGAACGAAAGGTCATTCTTTTGAAGAGTAGGAGAGAAAACAATTATTCTGAAAAGTTCGTTAAAAGATTGTGAAAAAAAAATCTGCTTCTCCGTGATAAATGTTTTGAAACAAGAGAAAAACAATAGCACCCCCTTTATATAGCTGATATGATAAATTACTCACAAAATGACTTGTATTTTTCATCATCTTACAATTCATTTGCTTCTTAATTCGTGCAGTCACTGTAACATTTATATTGTAACTGGACAGTGATTTCTAACGTTTATATCTAGATTAATTAGTGAGGGAAAAAAACAAGAACCATAAATATATCGAGATCGAATTGAACATATTATTGTCAAAATAACAGACAAAACCAGTGTTAAGATTATTGTCGAATATTACATATTCGCTTTTCAAATAAAACATACTAGAAAATACCCGCGAAATACACTTTGGTTCATAATTTGAAGATATATAGTTTTGGTGTAAGGCGATATTAAGATCTTAAATCTTTTTGAAGCGTGTCACAGACGAAATACCACCACTCAATATGACACCCAAAAGAATAGTCTTCTCGACAGAAACTATTGGCGTTTGTGATCTAATCATATGTTATGTCATTGCTATACCCTGGATGCATTGCACTGATCAATATAATATGCGTTTATAAATACCTTTAATTGGTGACATATAGAGTGAAAACTGACTGGGATCTTTTACAAAAAATATCCTGACCCTGATTTGGTAAAAATAAAAAATCTGTCTAGCACTTCAAGCAGTTTTGCCAGTCCCCCAAAAAATTTTGGAAATAAATTTTGTGTACTGAACACATAGGGAAAACATTGAATGATAAAAAATCCAGGTGCGGATGACAATCCCAGCCCCATCCCACGGAAAATCAAATGGTCCGTGCCTAATACGGGATGTGAACGTGGTGTCATTATACCAACCCTCTATTGGGTGACCTCTTTGGTGCTTCTAAATATGGAAGAGTTCAAATAACCATTATCAATAAGTGGTGACAGTAACACAGTTGAACATTCGTTATAGCAAATCACATTTATTTTTCAACTGCAAACTATATAATAGTAATTTTCCCACCTCCCTCCGATTGGCAAATTATCTCGTTTACACCTTTTTAAACTGAAATCTTAAATCATTTGTTGCTAATGAACCAATCTTCATCACATGTTTTTTGTGTTGATCAAATATCTTGTTTGCACCATTCTATTAAAAACCTGGTTTAATTTTGACATTTTTACCCAAAAGGATTTTGCACCACGCTCCTCTCGGTGGAACAATATTTTGCGCCCCCTTCAAATCCTGGATCGGCTCCTGATTTCAAGTGTTTCCGTGCTCAGAACCACCCCTATATATGAGTGGGCTGAAAATTTTATGCATTAATATATGAATGGGGGTGGGTCACATTCCAGCCGCACTTCGGTACACATTTTTAACCGAAAACTGAAGTAATCCCCCCACCCTTTTCATGTTGAAAGTTCCCCAGAAGGAAAAGCTCTTGACGTGTAAAAATCTGTTGTTAAATTGCTGAGAGCGTCAAAGGAATGGCTATCACAAAGTGTTTCAGTGTAAGGTCAATATTAACTGTATCTGCTACGAAATTAAATTTAATTTTGCCGAGCAGATGTGCAATGACGGAAATGATGACGGCACGTAAATTTCAGAGCCGAACGTCGTGAAGGATGGTCGATCCGAACTGGCTTTTGTTCGATTTTAACCCCCAAATACCCCCAAAAAGATCTTGAAATGAACACATAATAAACTACACTGGTCATTACCCCTTTATGGTATAAAACAATATTCGTGGATTTTATGTGAAAGAAGAAAACGCGACACCCAATTTCAACTCTATTCATTTAGTAATATTCGTGGATTTTATGTGAAAGAAGAAAACGCGACACCCAATTTCAACTCTATTCATTTAGTAATATAGATAATACGTCACTACAAGAATAATATGAAGCGTCATACTGAATATTAAAAAAATAGTGTTCATTGATACATCTCTATTGAAATCCAATTTCCGATTTAATATTTTTGCCGTGACCGGCAGTGATTTTAGAAGGAAGTTTTTATGTTATTAAATATTGTGGATGTCAAATGATTATAGCTCAATAAATTTAATGTATGTAATTAACACGGGGAAAACACAATAAAGAATGAAAAAACAGGTAAAACTTTTTACGTATATAGTGAATGTCAGATTCTTATATTTAGAATAACGTAAAGCAAGTAAAATAGACCATATGATATAAATCTGTACAATTTATTTAAACTGAAATAAACCAATTAGTATTCTACTTTCTTTTTTTAGACATGTGGGACAGAAAGAAATTTATTTTTGTATTCCTGAAAGTGTTGCAGGTTGCAGGTAATATAATATAAGTCTTAATAGTAATATGCAAAATAATCAGCCGTTGTAAGACCAATAAAACTATCAGCGATTGTCTAGGAACAAAACTGTTCTACTATCATGATTGATACATTAAATGATAGACATAAAATTTTTTATTATATATCGAAAAATGCTACAACAAAAATTAGGATGAAATCATTTAGTTATATTTATATTAGTAAAAATGGTGGGCAAAACTATTTCAAATCAAAGCCTATTACAAATGTTAAAGGTTAAAAGCCTAAAAAGTGCCAAAAGTATTGCCAAATCAGGAAAACGACTTACAGCTATGCATGAGGAAAATACTTTCGTATATAAGGATGTTGTCTGCTCTGTTTCAAAATATTATAACTTGATAGTATATTCAGATAAAAAAAAAAAAACAAAAATGAGAGGTCCGTGTCCTTCTTTTTTTATATAGATATAATCCATCTCATGTATATAGTTAAATGATTCTTTCTAGATTTTTCTTGCATCTAACAATGACATCCTTTTTTTCTTTCAAAAACTATGAAATAATAACAAGGATTTTATAAGATTTTCAAAACTGGCTTTTTGAATTGTATGTAATCAAAATATGAAAAGAAAAGAAGGAGTGAGTGGGCAAAACTTGTAATAGAAATACATGGATAACATCAGAGGTTTTCGAATATCTTACAAAAAAACAACATTAAGATCAGCCAACATCCTTAAAATAGATTTCAAAACTTCATAACACCAAATTACAATGAAATCATTTTTGTATTTGCAAGGAAAACAAAAGTACAAGCTTCTAGTCTGGTCATATCCAGCGGTACTAACAGTCCACTTGACTAAGATCAATAAGATAACACGAAAATGTTAACTACGATTTAAGTACGAACTACAACACTTTGAATAAAGTTTTAATATGTTTTTGATAGAAAAGCTTTCTGTATGACATATTAATTACTCTATAACAATCTTCATCTATTTTTGTACCAAAAGACGCTTATATGAGCAATAGGTTTCCTTTGATTTCTCAATCAGTAGGTTAAAGTGCTGGATTTATAATGTTATCTATATTTCAAAATTGTAGCGCCAATTTTCTTGCTGATTGTCGGTGATTCTCCATAAACACTCCAGCTTCCTCCACCTAAATAATTGACCGCCGCGATATAGCAAAGAGTGCTGAAAGTGACTTAAACACAATCAATCAATAAATCATGTTATTTGCAATCTCTCGTTAGACATACTCCACACAAATATATATCTATGGATCAATAGCCCATAAATATATATAAGGCATTAATGCATTTTACAGGCAGAAAAAAATATTTCGTTTCTGTTTGCATTTGTGGATTACTAAAGTTCTAACGATATAACTTTTTTTTTATAATCTATAGGAATCATACAGGAAGTATTTGTGAAAACAGGTGATACAGTTGTCTTAAATTGTACATGCACCAATCAAACAAACGGGCTCTGGGATGGACCAAATAAGTCAGCATCAAGGATAAACGGTCTGGACGAGGAAACATTAATGCCATATTCACAGGGGACGCTACGTAATTCAAAATTAAACTTATCAAAATATTATATTGTGGGAAGTTATAAGAACAGAACTTGTAAATTAATGATTAAAAAATTTTCGTCTGATGATGAAGGAAAATACCATTGTCAATACGTAGAAAATGACACAACAATTAGTCGTTTTTACAGAGTTCTCATACAGAGTAAGTACTCATTATATTTGTTTTTTATATAGAAAAAACATTAGCAGTGTATATTATCGTAATTATTATAAACATGACTAGTAGTATGTTTTCTTTATAAAGAAATTTATACAAGTTTATACAGGTCCAGGAACACTTTTTTTTTATAAACAATACTAAATAATTGAAAACAGATAAATAAAATGAATAAGATTAATACAACGAAATAAATAGAATAAATAAAATTACAATAAAAACAATCAGTAAATTGAATATATGAATTACACAAATTCGTTAAATAATTTAAATAAATACCTGTATCAAACGAAAAGTACTATCGAAAATTGTTCCAAAGGTGAGAGTAGAACTGTTCTATAAACTGTTGAAGAATAGTTCTCCTGATAGTTTCTGAAGATTTAAACTGATTCCAACTGTATCTATGCTATTCAGTTTTAACCATTTATGTTTGCAAAAGCTTGCACATGAAGTTAATATCTGCTCGAAGTATATTTCCCGAGTTGTTAATTATCCTACATGTTGATTGCAACATAACATTCCTGCAATCATAGACTGAGTTAAATGCACCTGTTTTCGATTTTACCTGTACAAATGTATGTAAGTTGCATGGTTTGCGTCGATAATTCGTAATATTTTACTGTTACGTTTCGCAGACCATATGCTAAATGTTAATAATAGTTTTTTGTTTGTTTTCTTCCATAGATAATTATATCAATTGTTCATGCTATCAAGCGTAGAACTAGTTAGGAATGATTTTATACTAGCATAATATTACTTTGAAGTAATGTTGTTGTCATGGTCTGATATAAAAAGGGGGAAAGTTGGGTATACGCGTCAGCGTATACGTCAGCAACCAAACGACTCAAAAGTTCTTAAACATCCATTCGTCACAATTGGACCTGCAACAATTATCAAATGCCTTTTGATATGCCAATCTGTAAATCAAGGTGAAGTCATGAAAGCTGAGACGTTAAATTATGTTAACAGATAAAACCGATGATGTTACTTCCCGCATACTTATTATTACTTAGATGATGTACATTTTTCAGTGTTAGTTTGTGATACATTTGCTTCAACTTTTGAAACATTTGAATAACGAATATTTTGTATTTAGGACGACCATTGATGGAAGCAAAATATTCAAATGGGTATATTGAGTGTTAGTGCCATGTATTAATCATGTTAATATGTTGTAATTAAATGTCTTATTTCTCCTTAAACATATTGCCCATAACTTCAAAATAAATTTAACATTAAAATCTTTTCATGTCCAGTTTCTTTTCGTTAGCTCCACCTGATGTCTCAATTATTACAGCACAATTAGGAAATGCAACGAATCTTGAATGCCATGCTACCGGCGATTCTGGGCCATACACGTTCAAAGATTGGGAACATAAATCAGAATCTGGTATACATATACGATATATAGAAAACACAAAAGACGGTACACTTGTACTTCAGAAAGACAATTATCAAAACAGCGGGATATATATATGCAGAGTGAACAATGGCGTTATTGATATGAGCGGAGAGCATTATCAGAAAAGAAAAGTCTTGGTAAATTACGAAGGTAATCATATAAAAATTAAGCTCAAAATGTAAATTAAATTATCATCAATATTTTAGAATCCAATTTACTATAGGACATATGGACTATAGTAACCGAACAACACCAAACTTCATCTTCAGGTCAATATATAGTGTCAACAGTTATTGAGCTATTAAGTCCATAACTACCTTTGTCTTGACAACACGTTTTTGTCTCACCTGCGACGATTGTTTTAGAATGCAAGATATAGAAATGACAATCCGGCGTCGTCGTCGGCGGCTTCGACAGCTGTTTATATAAGGCTTTATATTGCAAAAGGTAGAAGATCTGGCTGCTGCATATTTTGTATGCTAGTACCTTATGTTACGAAGTAAGGTATGTAAGTTTCCGTCTGTCATATGTTCATTGTCGTTGACTATATTTTCATGGTTCAGTCACAGCCTGAAAGAAATGTATCTTTTTTTTTTGTTATGTGAAAAACTCACTTATTATGATTAATAGCATAATTACATGTATATCTGATATATTGGGTCCTTGCAAGGTCTATATTTCTGTCATACAAGGCTCACTTGACCTATGAACTTATTTCATGGATCAGCGATCAAGGTTATCTTTTCGTGGACAAGTCCGTATCTCACATACTAGACCGACCTTTTCTTGCTTTTATACATTCCAAAATGGCAGAAGATGCCTATCTACTTTTAGTTAAAAGATGACTGCATAATAAACACTTGAATTTGATCTAAACATTCAGAGAGAGAAGGACGACCAACATTGTCTGAATTTCGTTCACACTAGGATTATTTTCAAAAAGTCTCTCAATCATTACTTCAATTTACAGTATTACTAATCAGTATGACATATAATAATGTGTACTTTGAAGTCAAAACAATATTTTTTTGTAAAGGATTCACTAAATAATAAACGCAATTCATTCAAGGTTGGCGCTAAACGTAAAGGCAACAGTAGTATACCGCTGTTCGAAATTCATAAATCGATTGAGAAAAAAACAAATCCGGGTTACAAACTAAAATTGAGGGAAACACATCAAATATAAGAGGAGAACTACGACACAATAGAAACACAACATTAAAATGTAACACACACAGAAACAAACTATAATATAACAATGGCCATTTTTCTGACTTGGTACAGGACATTTTAAGAAAAAAATGGTGGGTTGAACCTGGTTTTGTGTCTAGCCAAATCTGCCGCTTTTATGGCAATGTTAAATATAACATTAAAATGACAACATTACATGACAGGACTACAATACAAATAAATGGGAGAACATATAGGACAGAGAAACATACGAATAATAGCTAACAGTAGGTACCAGGTTTAAAATTTAATACGCAAGACGCGCGTTTCGTCCACACAAGACTAACCAGTGACGCTCAGATAAAAAAAAGTACGAAAGCCAAAACAAGTACAAAGTTGAAGAGCATTGAGGACCAAAAGTTCCAAAAAGTTGTGCCAAATACGGCTAAGGTTATATGTTTGGGATAAGAAAATCCTTAGTATTTAGAATAATTCAAACTTATGCAAACAGTAAATTTATAAAAATGACTATATAATAGATATACATGATAACACCGAAGTGGTGCGTGAATACACAAAACAACATAAACCAGCACATAAAATTCACAGCCGAGTTAGCCAAAGAGGTCAACGCAAAAAAAGTGACATCACATTTGAATTTCTGAAATTTCCCCAAAATAGGATAGAATTAGGATAGAATTCAAGATTTGGTTTATAATACTAATATAATACTTATTAATAACAATGAAAATTACAATACTAATTCATATAAAATGTGGTAGTAATTAGATAATTAATAGTATTATCTAGCTATGTCGGTGTTTCTTCTAAATCAAACTGTAAACCAAATATATCGTATAAATTTAGTTGACCCAAACTAAAATATAATTAATGAACTGGGTGATTAATTATCTTTACCATAACACACGAATACAAAAGAAAAAAATAAGATTTACAATTACAAACGATAAGACATTTGACACAATCCGATGAGAATAAAAAATATAACATCAAAACTAAATACATGAATTTTGGATAGAAAAGTACCGTGACACGTCTTATAGCAATGCGAATTCACACTCAGCAAAACAGTCACAATCGGGAATAAGTCACGTTCGGTAATTAAAAGATCAGACGACGTAATGTCAAACCACAAAATAACACGTGGTAAAAATGTCCTTAGTTAGTTTGGACAAAGACACATCGTATGGATCGACCAATTCGTGATGGTGTCCGTAAAATTTACGGAGTGTAATTTTTAATCTGTCCTCCTCATAACTTTGTTGGAGCAGTTTCTGCGTTAGGATTCCTGTATATGAAGTCCGTATAGTGTGAACATGCACGAGCATAACGTATCAACTGAGATATGTAAACACAATACGAAGGGGCAGAGGGTATGTTACTGCTGAGAAATAAGAAATTGATAATTGGGAAGTTGAAATCGTCTCGTTTATCATAGATTTTCGTGTGAAGTCGTCCATCTGTGTCAATATTGAGGAAAAGATCAAGGTATGAAGCAGTCCTTCTAGTATCAGTAGTATCCTTAATTTCAAGTTCACTGGGATATATGAGATGTAAGTATTGGCTGAAATATAGGTTATTCAATGATAGGACATCATCAATATATCGGAAAGTAAAATTAAAGAATTTCGCAAGGTGCTTTTTCTTTTTGTCTTTTAGAAGGTTCTGAATGAATTCTGCTTCATACGAATACAAAAACAAACCGGCCAGTAGGGGTGCACAATAAGTACCCATTGGAATACCGTTTGAATATGTATGATGGTTTGTTTGAAAGGTGAGCCAGTTTAGAATATATGTATGTAGTTTGATTTTCGGGGTATCATATGAAATAATCTTTTCTGCAATGTTAGCCACTACGGATAAACCTTTCGGATAGTGCTTCTTGGAGAGAGGACGACATTCCAGTTTTCAGAGAAAGAAATTATCTAGACAGTTTGTTCTTTACAATCTTGCATATCTTGTATTTATCCCATAGTTGTTAAGTATTTATTATATAGTGCTCTTCACTTGAGAGCAGAAGAATTGTAGAATGTTATATAATGCATTGTAATAGAACGTACAATATCATGGCGAAGTGATTTTTTTGTAGTCACAAATGTTTTAATATATTGATGTCCTTATCCCACAAAAGTTATAAGACGGATATCCTCAACCTAAACCTCATTACAGTGAACGTTATAGACGTTCTTTATGGCATTTTGTTTCCAAAACCATAGACCGTTTGCTCTCTTCTAAATGCTTTTTTACAGTAACATGTACCACTGAATAATGTTTGATATCATAGAAATGTGTATTTGTTGAAAATAAAAATTCAAAAATGAAGAACGGGTGAACAATGTGGAAAAGGAAAGGTTAAAGAGTTGAGGCTGGAGAAAGATAAGAGGCAAAATATACAAATATACTGACTACAGCTATAATAAATCATTAACACCTTAATTCATACTTCTACTTTTTCAGATGACCAAAAAGGTATCTTATCATATATTTTTATAAGATCATAAAATTCCTTAAGATTCGTCTTGTTATTATATTTAATCAGTTTTTAATTACATTTCAGGGCCGCCGGTGTTTCTTTTAAACAACAAAAAAACCTGGTTAGGTCAATGTCATGGAGAAGTTATTGTTACTTTAAAAGTATTTACTTCATCTGAAGTCACTAGTGAACAAATTCCAAAACTTGAGGAACAGAAGGACGAAAGGCAATCGTCTGAAGTAATAGGTCCATTGATGAATTCGACATGTAGAGAGCATTTAGTTTTCTATAATGTTAGTGTTAAAGTACCGTGCATCGAAGTGACATTTAATTTTACCAAGTCTATGAATGACGATAGTATGAATTATTCCGCGAAAGTGTGTAATAAATTTGGGTGTGATTTCTTTGACGTTATTGTTATTTCAACAGGTATGTATACTTGTTAAAATCCACTTGCTGCCGCTAATTTAATATGATTGTATATCATGTATCAGACAATACGGTATCTCGACGTGTGTGACGTCAAATGCCAAACTATGAAGTCTTTCGATATATGACGGCACGCTCTAATGACGTTACATTGACGACGATCAATTGAAGAAAAAACATTACACAATATAATCTTCGATAAATTATTTTAAAGAGATACATTTACAGAAATGAACAGGAGCTTGCATTATTTAAATTATGGACATATGTGTCCATCCAGCTGCAAGAAGTTTTGAGTGATTTGTTTGGTATATTTATGTTTATGTGTGTTAATGATATGAGAGTATTAACATGGACATAACAAAATGAGCAGTGCATTTCGAGTTTATACGTCTCAATGTGTCTACCCATTAGATAAATGAATTATAGAAATATTCGCAGATGAATGTGAAGCATAATTGAATGAAAATTACATCTGTATTTGTGTATTCTATGAACAGTAGGAGAAAAAAACCAATTGTTTATACATGTACTATTAATAATTTTTGTTCAGTTTTTCTTTTCTTTCATATTTTAATGCGATTTCTTATTATTTTGTGTTGTAAAGGGTAACGGAAATTAAGTGATGGTTTGTGCCTAACACTGCATTAACATATTTCACAATGTCAATCAATAAAATCGAAGTTTATGTGCATGGCAATGGTTTCTGCAATTACGGTAGAATTACGATTACGTTTCGAAGGTCAAACATTAATCAACAAAACAAAACCTGAAAATTGCTAAACAGAACATTTCGACCCGCTTACGTCAGGCATAACCTGTGGAGTTGCGAACATAGGTTTATTTATAAGTTTATTGCACTGATAAGAAAATGTATGAAAAAGCAATTATCTCGCCCCTCAAAAAAGTTTAGTTTTTCAGTTCTTTCGATGCTACATGTATGTTGTGCACGTTATAGATAAATCAAGATACTACAATCCTGACTATAATTCTGACACGACATAGGCATGATAGATAAGAACCTAGCCTTTATAGTCAAATGTTCTAGATATTTTGTAGCAAAATACATGGGAAGGGCTTGACACAAATTCAACTATGTATAACGATATTTCAAATTGAGGGCAGTTTTGTTTTTTACAACTGCATGATTTCAGTGATTCTGATGCCCTAGAACAAATGTGCACGACATATTTAAAAAATGTCAATACTTATTTCTGAAAGACTAATTGTATTCTCGTTTTATTTTCGCATTGCAGAGCCAAAAGTATCCTTATACATGTTATAATACCTTCCTTTTAAAGTCAATAATGTCATTTAATCACACACAAAATGAAGCACTAGCATCTTAAATAAATGCACTTAAAGATATAACTGTCAACATACAGCAATAGCCAACAAGTGTTACTTATAAACACACATGATAAATAAATCAATGCATAAAAAAATGTTAAACAAAGATAGGCATATGAAAAGGTACTTGTATAATATTCCTTTAAATAAAGAGTAAAACATGTTTATTTTATCCAGTTACAGGTATTCCGGTAGCGCCATCAAATATTTCACTGATGAGTGACGAGACCAAAATATTTTTGAAATGGCATCCAGGTTTAAATAGAGGTTGTAGCCAAAATTTCTTTATTGAATATAAACAGACTACATTGACCAACTGGACGGATATAGGTCCTATACCGGATCATAAGGAGAAAGATGGTGCATATACTTTATCGGACTTACGTCCTGATACACAATACGAAATTCGAATGTATGCCAGGAATAAGGTTGGAGATAGTGTAAAAACAAATATTACGACCATTCTCACAAGAAGTAAGGGATGCACGAATTTACTTTAATAATTGATATATCGATTTGACGATTTAATTTAGTATATTCAATCACATTTTTCTTTTTGCAGCATACAAAAAGCTGGCAAATTATAAATGTAAGACTGGATTCTTCCTTAAACAAGAAGATCGTTAATGATTATTCTAATATGACGTCATTATTTCGCTTTGTAAACAAAGCCGTGTTCTAATTAGCACAAAATATGTTTGACACATGCGCACAAACTAACTGTTTACATTTTCGTTATTTTCCCTTTTTCCTGGTAAATTATATATATTTTAACTGCTTACATAAAAGTCTATTAAATATTGTTATAAAAACATCATATATTTTCCCTGCTATCAGTTTTTAAACTTATTAAATATGAATATGATATGTACTACATAATTCATGAGGAGGATACGGGAACAGCCAAATATTCCTACGGTATTTTCGTACGCTTCGACCTAAAAAAATTCAGTATATGTCCTATTAGCATCGTAAAAATTCCTTCATGTTATGCTCTATGTTCATTTTAACATGGGTATGCACTAATTTTGACCATATTTTACATCTCGATAACGCTCAGTAAAATATCGACAAATGTAATGCCTACCCATGTTAAAATGAGCATAGAGCATGACATTAAGGAATTATTTCTTAAACTTCAAAAGAAATTCTCTATTCTGTAATCAGTGTTAAAAACGGCCATCAAGAACAACATACCTTTGGAAATATTTGCGATCGCAGGTACTTATTTTTTTTGCAAATATCTTCCATTTCAAATAAAGTTTATTTTCATTTTAAATTTCTTGCCATCCGGTGTTTAGTAAACTAATGAGTGTTTTACGTTACTTAAATATTATTGTCTCATCAAATTTCTGGAGATTGTTATCGTACATGTACTCGTACCTCTTTGGACAATATTTTTCTCGAATTAAAACGCAAACGCACCGAAAATAACATCTTTCAATATGGAAAAAGTAAAATGCAACAAAATCCCTACTATAAGATGGAATATTTTTCGATATTTTAAATATTACAAATTGTTTTAGTCATCATTGTCATTGTTTTTTTGTATTTGTACAACGGATGTTTTTTTTCATTAATAAAGAACTGATGGAAGATAGGCACCAGTTCTTGGGGTGGAGTATTACTTCTGTCATGGTCATATTAGCTGTAACATGCTGTGGATTTGTGTTTGTATTCGTCAGAAAGAGAGGTAACAAACTAGAATATTAGTACATGCAAGGAATCTTTAGTATTGTCAATATTGTTTCAATTTTAAGACGTATCTTACTTTGAATTTATAACGTCTTTCATTTATAGATTGGACCATAGATATAAGAATATGTGGTATGAGTGCCAATGAGACAACTATCCCTTCAAGTCACAATTTGTAAAAGTAAACCATTATAGGTCAAAGTACGGTCTTCAACACGGAGCCTTGGCTCACACCAAACAGCAAGCTATAAAGGGCCCCAAAAATGACTGTTGTAAATCCATTCAAACAGGAAAACCAACGGTCTAATCTTTATAAAAAAAAAACGAAAAACGAGAAACACTTATGACCCACATCAACAAACGACAACCACTGAACATCAGGTTCGTGACTTAGAACAGGTGCAAACAAATGCAGCGAGTTTAAACGTTTTAATAGGTACCAACCAACCCTTACCCGAAACAATAGTGTAACATCATAATATAGAAAGACACACCAGTCGGAATTTTAATACACTTTTTAACAGACTGATAAAGCAAAATTTTCTGGTTAAGCTTAATTTTGTTTGGAAAAAAACTTATTTGTGTTGTTAGTGTATCTATATAAAATATCATTTCATAGTAGATGTTCTTTCTAATAATATTATCGGTACTGCAGCAGATGTGGATTTCCACACTTAATGTCTGTTCAGTGAAGCTCGATCTCGAAATATTAGAAAATTATAAACCCAATACAACATTGAAGTATAAGCACCCTACACAAAGCTCTAATTCTAAAAATGTTCTTTTTTCATCGGTACGAAGTTAACATAACGGTAAATAGAAAAATAAATTATTTAGCTTATAGTAATATAATTTAATATATGATAATGCAATTTAAACAAACAGTGTCTTTTAACATGTTAAAATGCAAATGAATAATATTACAGAGAAAAGAAAGCAGTGTCACAACATTAGGTAAACTGTTATTTATTTTCGTCTCAACATGTGTCTTATTTATCTTCCAGCATGACATTCTCTAATGTATGGATGTTACATTATGAAGATGACTAAATATAAATTAAGTAGTTACATATGATTGGACTTCAATTTTTTGGCGTTTTGTATGTTAGGTTACATCTTTTAACACATGATATACTAAAAACAATTAAACGAACTGGCCCTTTTATTTAACTATCTATATATAATTATGTATCTCATCATTTCTTTGTCGACTGTTTGGCTTACAGACGTATTATTTACAATTATAATTGTTTCGACATCAATGTTACTTTTTTTTCAATATCATTACACGACTTCACTACAAAAGTCTGAAAGTCTGAAAAGACCAATTTTTGTCTGAATTTGCAAGAATTTTTACTCGACATTCTCTATTTGTCTGAAATTTTTGTAAAGATTCTTGACAAAGTCTGAATTTGTCTTAAATAAGTACTTGATTTTTCTTGACATATGTCTTGACAGTATTAACATTGTCTAAAAAATATCTCGACACTTTCTCAACAATCTGATAAGTGTCTTGATTAGTCTCTACACTTTCTCAACAATCTGATAAGTGTCTTGATTAGTCTCGACCAATTCTCGATTGTCTTACTTTTGTGTCGATAAGTCGAGAAATAAAGCAAAAGATATATCATGTATATTGGTCATGATTTGTAAAACTCAGAGTTGTCAATCAAATTCAAGACACAATTCAAAATGTTTAGAATATGTCAAGCTTTACTGAGAAAATAAACATGTTGAGAACCTGTCAAGAAATTTCGGGACAGTATTCAAATGTCGAGAATTTGTCAAGCAATTTCAAGACCATGTTCAGAATGTCGAAAATATGTCGAGTAAATTTCATACAAATTTAATATAAATCAAAAATTGTCAAGAAAAATTAAGACATAAGTTGTACTTTTTAAGAATGTCGAGTAATTGTCAATGCAAATTGAGACAAAAATTGGTCTTTTCAGACTTTTGGACTTTGTTGTGCTTGAAGCTCATGTAAATAGTTAAAAAAAAAACTGTGAGCAATAGTCATCGTTTTCTAAAGAGTGCATGACTAGTTAATCAAGTTATCTCGGATAAAATCATCCCCGATAAAGTCAGCTATAATTAATGTATTATAATTATTTCAGAAACTATGAAATTTAAAAAAAAAAATATTCCAACTCTCTCAAGCAATGTTGATTTCAAGGAATTTTCCTATACTGTTTATGTCTCTTTGCTGGGGTATATAACTTCTAATGCTGTAGCGTATTGCATTTAGGCATCGTTGGTGTTCAAATGTGCATGTTAATCCAGACGCTCGAAGTTTATAAAGTGTTTACTTCATCTTTAACAGTGTATTAATATGTCCTCAAATATTACGAAAAGGGGTAATTTATTACTTAAATGAAAATAATCCACATTTCCGAAGTAGCAAATCACATCAGTGGTAGGGTTTGTTTTCTATCCAGTAATTTGTTTTACGGGAGATGATAGTTGAGTTGTTGCTTTCTCGATTATAGTAGCGAGTTTCAGTTCATAGACGCTTATATAATGTAGGATGATCTTTTGACCTTTAAATGTTTTTTAAGACCCCGCATTAAAAAAATTGAGGGTATACCTCTGTCTGTCCGTCCGTCCGTTCATTCGTCCGTCCGTCAGTCTGTCCATCGGTCCAATGAATATGTCTAGTCGCATCTTTCTCAGGAACTTCATCATAAGGATTTCTCGAATATGGTTTCAGGGTTGATATAAGTAATTTTTCTAAAGTTGTTAGCCTGTCCGCAACTGTTCGCCAAAGCGTACTTCCTACTTTGTCGTTTAATACGATACTTAGATTCGTTTTTAAGTGAATTCTGTTTTTGAATGTGTATTTCTATAGGGAAAAAGATCGTCATTTCAGAAGAAAATAATATTTGTATTACCAAATAATTATTCTTCATTTATTATTATTTTATTATTATTATCGTAGTGATGGGGTGGGGGCGGGGGTTGCTGTATTCTTTTCTTAAAGTTGCCACTCATTTGTATACTTAAATGATATCTATGTTAAAATGCATATCAGAAAACTTCACATCTTTAATTCAATAAGATATTGCTAAATATGTATTTATAAATTTTAGACCTTCAGACCTGGATATGAATATACAAGGTACAAATTAATGCAATAGAAAAATTGATTTTTTTTTTTAGAATATTAGACTTTTATTCTTTTTATCTATTTTTTAACTCTCGTTTTTTTTTTCACTCGAATTTTTTTAATATTTTACTTTTAACAATATTTAAGATATGTATATATAGATAGCTACATGTATAATGGTAAATCATTTTGCATTTCTCGTGTTAACTGAAGAATTCAATTTGTAAAGTACTAGAATTAACAAAGATATGTGAAAATTAAGATCAACGTTTTGTTTATTATGTATTTGGATACACACTTATCAATTCACATTGAATCACAGTATTTACATGCAACTACATCAAAATGACTAAATGTGTCTTCAGAGTTGTTAAAGACCTGTTTTCGTTAGAATGTGATACATTCCTTTGGCTTGTTTCACATGATTTAAAATCGAAAACAATAGCCATAGCCATCAGTGAAACAAATATATGTTGATTATAATTAAGTGATCGATTATGTTTAAATTTTATCAGAAAGATTTATTTTTTATAAAATTTCGAAAATGATTTTGAATTACCATATATTAAACAGGACATTTTCAATTCAATATTTCGAGGGAGGAAGTTAATCATAGAAAAAGGAAACGGGTTTGTCAGGATATTCAACTTGTATTGTTAATACAACAAATTATGTCAAAGCAATGCAAACACAAAATGCATATAATATATGGACAGAATTGTTATTACGAAAACAGAAATAAAGCCGTAGAAATCTTGGATACATTTGTTGCAACTTCATTTAACCTATTTGCAAAAAGTATTTGCGTCTTCATTTTTCGGTTGTGCTTACTTTTACTTTTTTTTGTTCATTAAGAATTTGCACCAACACAGTTGTATATATTGTATTAATTAATTTGAAATTTTTCTTACATGTTTTGTAGGTCATTTGTACTTTGGGTTTAACATGTTAACTTTTTTTAGCAATAAAACATGTCTTGTCTATATTGCTAGTATCTTTTTTTCATTTCTCTTTTATGACATCAAGACCCTTACAGATTATTTTTCTCCCAGTTATTTATATAAATCAGAAATGTCTAAATTATTCTAATGTATATGATAAGAAATCATAAAAAAAGGGACTGAGAAATATATTTGGTTTTATTTAATTGGTTTTGTGTAAATGGAAGAACATTTTAAAATCTGTATATGATCCATAACATTATTTTACTTATATTTGTTGTTGATATATAAAACTATAAAAGAACAAACATGTTTTAATTAGCATGAACAAATGATGATTGCGTACAATATGTTAATTCTTTTGTTTAATCAGGGGAGTCAGTTGATAATCGTATGTACCTGTCATCAGACTTTCGTCAATCAAATTTTACTAGACATCAGTCAGAACGATATGAAATGGAAATTCAACCTACTGGACAGCCAAGTTCAGCTTTAGACAGTCGTATGTAAAACATGCACGTAACTAAAACGCAATTTACAATTCCAATTTACCTTAAAAGATCAACAACGTGTAAGAAAACTACGAAAAATGTTTACAAAGATTTTTCTCAAATACAATCATGACAATTATAACGAAACATAAACATCATAGATGGCAGTAGAAATTATTTTAAATGTACTTACAATGTAGCTGCGAAATCCAAGTATTAGAATTGCAATCTGAATGGCGTATACAATTTTACTGCACACGATACTAGAAACAGTTGTATTGCATGCAGTCGTTAACACAGATCCTATCGTATCTGCCGAAGTGGTAGCTGTAAAATGGACATGATTATGCACACAAATTTATTAAATAATTGATTGGTTGATTGATGTTTAACACAAATTTGAACACTATTGTGCTATTTCATGGCGGTCAATTTTATTGGTGGATGAAGCCGGAGCCAAAAAAAAAGAGAAACATATTTAATGACAGTGAAGTGTACTTCTAACGCTTGTCGTTACGATCAGCGATTCATGTAAAAAAAAAACATCATATTTTTCGTTTTACATTTTGTATTATTCTCAGATTACCAAGAAGAGTTGCTAGAGGAACAAAATGTGTACCATGCTGACAGAATCATACCGACACAGGTAAAATAATTAAACGCATAGAATCAAAAAAGATTTTTGTTTCAAATGACAATTTAGTTGAAGTATTTTTTAAAGGTGTGATATGATTTACATTAACATTGAACAAACGTTTGATTTTTTTTTCTTGGTTGGATATTGTCTAATTTGAAACATTTCGCAATGCTTGTCTTTCTTACTCATATTACTTTGTACATAATTCAAAACTTGGTGACAATGTTGAACGCATCCATCCCATCGAACTTGAGATAAAAGAGGGGCGAAAGATACCAGAGGGACAGTCAAACTCATACATTGAAAATAAACTGACAACGGCATGGCTAAAAAATAAAAAGACAAACAGACAAATAATAGTACATAAGACACAACATAGAAAACTAAAGACTAAGAAACACGAACCCCACTAAAATCTGGGGGTGATCCCAGGTGCCCCGGAAGGGTAAGCAGATCCTGCTCCACATGTGGGACCCGTCGTGTTGCTTATGTTATTACAAATCCGGTAAATAGTCAAATTCGGTAGGTCACATTGGTGAAAAGGGACGGGTATTGTAGTTACGACATAAGGAACATATCCGATATCATCTGTGAAACGGTTATTCCATAACGGTCAACCAACTCGTGATGGCGTCCGTAAAATTTACGAAGGGATGATTTCAACTTCACCATTTGGAACTCTTTGTTTAATAGCTTCCTTGGGAACAGCAACCTTCTATCAAGGAAACCATGATAGGAAATACAAGCCCAGGAATATCGTATCAATTGGGAGATATATACTCCGTATACAGGCGCTGCTGGAATGTTGCTACATAACTAAATGAGATAAATGATACAACAGATACAGATAAGTCTGTCTCATATCTTGATTTACATATAGAGTTTGAAAATGAGGGTCGGTTGAAAATACATCTTTACGACAAAAGAGATGATTTCAGCTTCCATAACGTGATTTTTATATTTCTATATAGCAACATTCCAGCAGCGCCTGTATACAGAGGATATATCTCCTAATTGATACGATATTCCAGGGCTTGTATTTATTATCAAGACTTCCTTGATAGAGGGTTGCTGCTCACAAGGAAGTTATTAAACCAGGAGTTCCAAAAGGTGAAGTTGAGATAATTCCTTCGTAAATTTTACGGACGCCATCACTAGTTGGTTGACGGGTATGGGATATTCGTTTCATAGATTATAGCGGATATGTTCCTTATGTCGTAACTACAATCCCATACCTTTTTCAAGAATGTGACCTACCGAATTAGACTTGATACCGGATTTGTACTAACATGAGTAACACACGCACGATGGATGCCACATGTGGAGCAGGATCTGCTACCCTTCCGGTGCAACCGAGATCACCTCCAGTGTTTGGTGTGGTTCGTGTTGCTTAATATTTAGTTTTCTATGTTGTGTGTTGTGTACTATCATTTGTCTGCTTGTCTTTTCTTTTTTAAGCAATGCCTTTGTCAGTTTAATTTCGATTCATGAGTTGCAATGTCCCTCTGGTGTCTTTCGTCCCTCCTTTACGAAACATATGATCATTTTAGAAATATTTGATTATATCAGAAAAAAAAAATAAAGCCATTTTACTATTATTTGTATTGATATTATTATTACATTCATCAAAATTATCATCTTTTACATAATTAAATGAACTCGATTAGAAATGCTTTCAAATGGTAGACTCGTCGAATGAAAGATTTTAAACTTACAAAAAAAATCGTCTTCGAGAAGGATACCTCAAGTTGATTACTCTGAACATCTTTACTGTGATTCCCAAAAGAACAGTTGGTTTTGATGAAGCAGGAACAATGTCATTATCCAAAATTTTCCAGATCAAGTAACACTTCCAGAAGATGTTTCATAGTTTCGTGGATGTGGAATGAAATCTTAAGTGCGGGTTTTTTCAGTCAAAATCGATACATTGTCACTGCTTTTGTAAGGCAATGTGAATATATGTACTATCATGTCTTTTTCTGGTTGATTGTTATCACATAGTCCGTTTTTCTGTATTTTGGCGTTTGTTTTTGTAGTAGTTCAGTGTTCCTGTTGTTCCGGGTTGTTTTTTTTTTTTTGTTCTCTTATAGTTGATGTTTTTCCTTCAGTTTTGGTTTGTGACCCTAATTTTTTTCCAGTTAAATCAATTACTACTGAAGAGCGGTATACTACTCTGGCCTTTATTTATAGCCAAAATCTGAACTGTTTTTTCATAAATGATTACACTTCTATCATGTCTATGTAAGCACAATATACGGTTTTGAAATCTCATTGATCTTCCCCTCTTAACACAATTTGATGATCTGTTATTATGAATGAATATCTAAGATTATACAGTATTCCATGCAACTTAACGATAACTTGTCTGATTTGGTAAAAGGCAGCTGGTGATTATAATCTGCTATAAGTAAGATAGTGGTTGTGCGCTTTATCCATATCCGTATCGACATTGAAAAGTTCCATAATGCGATAGAAAATAATTTGAAAAGTTTACATTTCAGTTATGCAATAGGGTAAAATTTCCACTAAATTTCACACATTTTCTTTTGCAGCATGCTGAATCTAACCTGAACTATGTTGAAGTTACATTTGAAGCAGTGCCTTCGACAAGCACAAGTATTATTCATGGCAAAGAAGACAGAACTATTTATTCTGAAATAGATTTGTTGTGCCATGCAGATGTCATTCCGTCCAGCAGTGAAAGTGACGATGACTTTATGTATGTGGATGGGATAAAGAACTACGATAGACAAACATGCCTCTGAAATTACTATATCGTCATTGATTGTGCAGATGAATCGTCACGTCTTCCATCTTTTGTATAGAGACAGTTTTTGTATAGACTTAAACATTCAATATACATTTTGTAAATACTTAAAGTGTATTACGGTTTTGTTTCTATTTCTGGTAGTTATAGTTGTAATCAATACAAATTTAAGAAATTTTTGAAACACTTGAGTCTTACATTCTAAATGTAAATGACACCGAAGTTGTGGGAAACTGGTTTGTTAAATTGTTTGAACAGGCATTCATTATGTTTCATCCAGGACATTTTTTTCCTTCCCTTACCTTCCCTCTGGTCAACCGTAATATGCATTTATCATGACTTTCTCTGTCCTAAGTTTTCACTTAAAAAAGGCGACTAAAGGAAAAACATTTTTGGTAATTTCTCGCATAACACAACTGACAAACCATTGTATAACCAGTAATACGTTTGTTTCTTATCATTTCTAGTACTGTAGTTAAAGAGTTGCCGCCGTCAAGTGCAATTTGACGGTCGCAACTGCAGTTTTACTGGCGACGCTTAGCATAAAGGAATCACAGGCGCTTCGCGGACAATCCCCCTCTTTCTGCCTTTTTATTATAATTTTTTCTAATTTTCTTAATTTCTTTAGTATTCCAGCTTATTTTCACCCTTTTCACATATTCTTGTTATTGTTTTTTAACAGTAAGATATGACCGATGCCCATCTATTCTTATTACGGAAATTAAGAATTAAGGGGAGTCGGTTATATAATACAATAACTGTTAAATCGTTAGGATAATAGCAAGAATGCGTTAAAAAGGGTCCATTCCCCATGTATTAATTCCTCTGTGCAAAAGTACTGACGTATATATTTCATGGTAAACAAATGCACACCTGATATAAAAATGGAATATCTATTTTTTCAATTACCCAGAAGAATAATTAAAAATTTCTTTGTTTCCGGCAATTCATTTGCGTGTGCTCAAACGTTCTATAGCATTAGTATCGTATGACGAAATTTGCCCCGGATGACCTATAGTTGTTAATTTCTGCATCGAAAATTTTAACAACAAATCTTGTCAAATTATTTGACGACCGTTCATAGGATCCGAACGTTAAGGAAAATGCTCATGTCCTCTACTGAGGGTCTTGATGGGATCCATTCTTTCTTTATTCTTTAATAGTTTATACTATTCTTCTCTATTCTTTATCTGTTTATCCATTATTCTGTATTCTTTATATTTTAAGACCCCGTTATTCTCTATTCTGTACTTGTTTGGCCTATTTTTTCTCTATTCCTTATTTTTTTTTTTTTTTTTGCCTTTTATTCTGCACCTTTTGGCCATTATTCTCTATTCTGTAAACCCCATCCAGAACCTCTTTAATGCCATAAATCACGTTTGATTGTTAAAACTACGTTTTCGACTCCTTACTTTGCAGAAAATTCTTATACAGAACCAGAAGAAAGGCAAGAACCGTTTTGGGTACCCTATTCCTTTATTTCTAGTAAATAAATTGCATTTTGATTTTTTCGTGAAATGGAAAATGGTGTTGCCACTACATTCTCCACTGGATTCTCGTAAACATTTAACAAAAACAAAATCATTATTTCAATCGTTATGAATGGCCAAACAAATTGCTTGAAAAGGTAATACCCTGGATTTAGGAAGAAAGATCTATTGTCCGGCTAGCCGGAAAAAGATAGCTTCGTCTAAATCAAATAATGTGACGGTGCAATAATAACGATTGGAATCAAGCGTACAATCATGTGTATGTAAGTTCCCTCCATTAAAACTGAACTTAAATCTTCGTGGATTACGCTATAAATAATGCATATTTTAAGATTTTTCTTGTCGTAAACAGTATAACACGTCGGTGTGTGTCAGGATTTATCATGTGAAAGACAGACCTTATAGAGATCTTTCTTTTTGGGCAATCCTGGCAGCTCAAGGTATGTTAAACGACAAGAAAAACCTTAAAATATGTGTTGTCTGACTTGTATACCGCAAAAACATATTATGATTATATAACATTTGGGGGAAATTGTATCCCATTTAACGATCATATTAAGGATGTAGTTAGGTGAAGTTAAAAACATCTAGAATTTAAAATTGATACTATAAGTCAGAAGGGCATTAGTAAAGGAACAAAATAAGCTAAAAATATTGATAGGTTATGGAACTCCTTTTTGCGATATTTGATTTTTTTTAAATGGCGGGAAAAGGTTGACTCGGACTTTTACCTTATATTTAGCATTGACATTATTTGGGTCTCAAATCGTAAGAAAAAAAATCTAGAAACTGCTTAAATTTTGGTAATAACCGTTTTGTGAGCTATTGAAATCTCCTATGAAAAGAAAAGTGGGTGATATGGGGAAAATAGTTTACCCTGCATCGTAGGAAAAATCCCAAGAGATGACGAGAATTCATAAACCTGACCTGAGTACATCCTTAAAATGATATATCTTTTTAAAGTTGTTTAAGTATAACAACCCCCTACGGTTAAATAAGGTGAATTGCAACTAGTTTATCTAGATATTTATATACACAAGTAATCACGGTCATGTTACATTAAAAATTACATTTAATGACAGGAAGCAAGTAACATATGAATTGTTTCGGTGTACGAAAAATACAAGTCAATTCGGTAAGTAATTTATTATAATAACTTTATAAAAGGAAATGCTTCGTTTTTCTCTGGTTGTAGATTAGTTTTCAACAATTTTAAATGAATCTATTCAGTACAATTGCTCTCTTATGTCTAGCAATATAAATTTTTTTCTAAAGTAGAGAATAAGGATGAAATACTATTACTCCTCCTCCTTAACATAAATATATAAAGTAACATGGTCGTTCCGCTATAGAAAATGAGAATATTTGGCAATTTGATGGTGAAAACGTTACAGATATATAAAAAAAAGAGGAGAACCTGGTCTTTATATGACCAGACTCAAGCTAGAGACCAATTCTAACGACCAATCAAGCTAACGACCAATTCTAGCGACCACTAAAGAACACAATGGTTTATGTAACAGGGAAAATGATAAAGGATATACACTTAAATTACTCATTTAAGGACATTGTTTAAAATTGAGTTTAATCTATTATAAAACTTATGAAGATAATTATAGAATTCATGTAACTAAATCAAAAATAGAAATGTCCTAAAATCTATTATTGTTTACCTTAATGTCAAAGCTCAAGGTTACATGGATACCATGATGTTATTTAACACATGTATGTTTAATACACCAACATGTCAAATATCATATATCAAAGTCAAAAGATAAAAAAAGTTTTGTCATAGACAAGACTGTATGAAAAGAAGAAGACGATGAACCAGAAACACAAGAAGAAATACTACACTGAAACCTTACATCTTCCTTTGTTGAGGGGAGACTTTATCAATTAATACATAGAAGGATAAATGTTCAACTACCACATTAAAATTGTGAAATTAAAAGCTTTCAAAACTATATTCTTTCAGTTATTTCTTATTTAGTATTTTGCAAAGATTGAGATTGAACTTCAAATAACAGCACTAAAATAATCTATCTTCTATAATCAAAAGAGTGGATTCTCCAAGACGTCTGTACTAAAAATAAGTCTCCAAATCATTTGTTTTTCTTTGTAACCTCAGTTGGTCAATTTTGAAAAGAGTATGTTATGTCAACTATTTTTAAAAGTTTTAACTATAAGCTCAACATTTAATAAATATAAAAGAACAGCGTGCAAATGTTTCTCGCCGAAGAGAATAGTTCATCTGTTCAATGGCAGACATTAAAATAAACAAAACACACTGTGTAATGCCAAACATACTTTTAAAGTTTTAAGAAACAGAAAGCATGCGTCTGAAACATCCAGAAAGCAAATAGTCATCACTACCAAGCTACGGCAGCTCGGGAAATAAATTAGCATGAGTAGCTACAGATAAAAATAAATAATCAATCAGGCAAAAAGTCCTCCCGCCAATACCCATCCCCCTCCACCAGCAAATCAAATGGTCGTCCTTTTTTCTCGTGGACCCATTTGATCTCGATCAATTTGGATAAAGTTAGCTTCCATAAAGTGTTTTCTCTTTGTTTAAATCTTTTAAAAATAATTATGTCTTTAATCAAAAGGGATAGTAAGTTTCTTTACGCTAAGCACGCAGTGCTAGTAATAGCAGCTGTCTTGTTCAACTTCCTTTTGAGATAAAATTATAATATGTTCGGATATAAATATATAGTGATCCTGCGAACTGTTAAAATTTTAATCAGCTCGAACGTCAACATTAATAAACTTTCGGGTTTAATACAGATAATTGATTGATTGATTGACTGATCGATTGATTAATTGATAGCTTGATTGAGTGTTGGTTGCTTAACGTCCAGTATGAAATATTTCATGCATGCTGAGTACGAGAACAAATAAACAATACAAGCAAATTGTAGGTCCTGTAAAAGGGGTCGACCAAAATGAAGGGTAGGACATTTGGACATTTCGTGCAAAGAGCATCTCATAAACACTCTCACTCTATACAAGAGACATTGGAATTAACGTCCTCATTTTGACCGGACGTGGCTTTCAATTTATACCAAATATGTTTGAAGCTATTTTTTATATCAAAATGACATTTAGCTTGCATAAAATTCGTAAATTAAGATAGTGACTCTATAAAACGAAAAGAAACCATGGTTTTTCCGTTCTTCCTTGATTTTAGAAGGGGGAAATGATAAATTAGTTAATCAAAGTCTTCAAAAGGGATTTGTAATCCTAATTTCGAAACTGATAATTTGGCGAGCCTTGTATACACGGAGGTACTAATTTCCGTAGATATTTCGATGCATCGCCATTTACAACGCAATAAAATAGTTGAGGTTTTCGAATGTATCGACGTATTCCTATCGTCTCTTTTTTGGTGCATAAAAGTTCTATTTTTGTAAAAATGGGTAATTCTGTCTCTATTCTCACTGTTTCTATTTGCATTGTTACAAGATTATAAGAATACAAAATTACCACAGTTGTCCCAGACTTCACCGAAATGAAAATAAAAGACGTATGTAAACCTTTTAAAAAAAATACAACATTCTGTCTACTCAATCGAAATTTCCATTTAAATAGTATCTCATAAAATTGAGAATGGCAATGGTATATATGTCAAAGAGACAACAACCCGACCAAAGAGCAGATAACAGCCGAAGGCCACCAATGG